ACACCCTTCTGTTAAAAAAATCATTTCGCAATCATTGACATACAAAGGGAACAACAGAGGAGACATAATTTCCCCTTGAAATAATCCATTTTTACATTGAAAAAAAATCTGACATGTTTTTGTTATACTTTACACAACATTTTACATCTCTGTACAAAGAACGTATACTATTCAATATATTTCCTTCCATACCTTCTTTGATAAGTTTGTACCACAAGTTCTGTCTATTAACGAAGTCAAAAGCTTTTTTGTAGTCAATAAAACTGCAATACAGTCTATTTCTATTTTTCAGGGTTTTACTTATTAATGTGAGTAATACAAATATAGCGTCAATAGTTGATAAATTCTTCTTAAAACCAAACTGAGCATCACTTAATTTAGAATAGTCACTATCGAAATTAGCAAGACGCTCATTAAGAATTGATGTAAACATTTTCCCTTAAAAACTTACTAAAGTAATTCCTCTGTAACTATTGGTATCGTTCTTGTCTCCTTTCTTAAAAATAGGAATTGTATTACCTACCGACCATAATGTAGGATAAAAACCAGATTTAAAACATTGTTAAACAGTACCACAAGACATGGCATAGGCACATCTTTACCCTTAGTAAAATACTCATTAATCAGTAGATTTGGACCACACGCCTTCGAGTTACCCAATATATTTAGAGCTTTGAGCACTTCACTATCAGGTATCTGATCATCTAATTCTTGAAACGTAGTATTTGGTATATTAACATCATAATTATTTAAAGCTCATTAACCATTTCATTCTCAACAGGTTCCGTTGAAGACAATTGGCGAAAATACTTTAAAAAAACTTGTTCACTAAGATCCCCCTTATCGTTATTTTTTCTTTTCTTGAATCTACTATAGAAAGGCTTAGGGTTACTTTTTCGCAAGTAATCCATCATATTACCTTGTTGATCTATATATTCACGCTTTTAATCTAGTTTCCAGTTTTTATTATTTTTATTTTTTATTTTTTAATTATTTATTTTAGGTTCAAATTGTTTTATTCCCCCAGCATCTTTAGGAGGGATGCCAGGGTTGGGGTGCCCCGGAATCATCCCTCTTACATAATATAGCCTCATGCAAAAGGCCTCTTTCTCTTCATTCTCTCTTTCTTTTTCATTCATTCTTTCATACCCAAATTCAAAATCATTCATTCATTCATACGTATATTTCATTCATTACAATAACGATAATATTTATTTTGATTAAATTGATATATTAAATTACATCAACCATTCCTTCTTTATATATTCAAATATTGAGCGTATTTTTATATTTATAAATTCTTTTACATGCCAAAAATTCTGCTTTATTGATTTGGGATTGCCATATTGTCCTAAAATTTAAACAAGATAAAACCGAATTCATGTACTTTGAATGATGTTGTTTTTCATGTGTAATTTGGATAAGTTTAAGAAGGAATGTCTGGGGAAATAAAAAAGAGTACAAATACTAATGTACCTAGCAATTTAGACCTATATACATAAACACAAAAACATAAACAGTGTACAATTATGTGAAATTAACTACAAATTATGTATTCATAAATACATCATACACACACTCGAAATGTCAAATATATTACTTGAGTCATACATATATACCACACATAATTGTACACACATACACTCGTACCCATACACACACATCTTCGCATGCCTGATACCATATAGATATTGCAAACATTCTTTATATTAAGACATTAATATATGGATACATCTATCCTTTCTTTTACAGTAAATAATTATATATTTACCATCTACACATACACATAAACCAATAATCATACTTATCAACATAACACATACACAAGACAGATATAATACATACATGTACGCCTGTTATTTACTTAAATACCAAAATTCTTCCTTCATGCTTTAATTAATTCTTTAAGTTTACCCGGATATGCAATTGATATTAAAAGTTTTCTTCTTAGATATTAAGGGGAGACCACTTTTGGTTAAACTTGTGTCATTGTGTTATTCAAAGAAGACATCTTGTTTTCAATCTGTTGTTGTTGAATAATGCGTCTTTTTCCACCATTTATTAGTTACGCTTTTTAGATATAAAAATGTTCTTATTTTCCTCTGACTTAAGTGAATTAAAAGTAAATAATGCGTTTTTGTATTCAATATATCTGTTTTTACAAACTTCGTTAAACCATGGTTTATCCTCCACTCGAACTTTTTTTACTTTTCTAGAGGTGTATTTAGTAACATTTAAAGGCATTAACAATTCATTTAATATATTAGTAAACTTATTCACACACTCATCTATACATTTTTGATTATCCTCAATATTATTACAAGCATTAAATAACTCTCTACGGTTTTCCTCTAGTAAATGCAATGCTCTCTCTGCATGATCCTCATTCCATTTAGCATGTGTATATATACTATTTTTATCATTATAATCAGGTACAACTATGTTTTGTTCAAATGAATCCACAGTAATACAAATTGGAGAATGATGTGAAAAAACATCAAATATTCCACTCTCAAAGTGAGTAATATTCTTTAAAAAGTCATCAAAAGTCAATACATAATCTATTAGACTAGATCCCCTACTATTCACAAAAGTTATACTACCATTAGGATCATCTTTATGTCGTCCATTTAACATTCTCAAGGAAGTAGATTTACACAGTGAAAGAAGATGTCTTCCAAATTGGTTAATATGCAGGTCAGAATTGGAACGTTTGGATGGTGCAGAATCATTAACATAATTTACAATATTTGAAATAACATGCGCAGGCCCTTAACAATGTCATTACTTCTATACTCGTTCTTTTATTGGAATCTCCTAGTACAATCACTTTTCCTAATCCTTTATATTCACACACCATTTCCTCAAGTCTGGCAAAAATATCAATTCACATTTGTGATAAAAAAACACTATTTATAGGTGGGAAATAACAAGCAAATGCATATATATCACTGACATTATTTCTAATGTTATTGGATATTTTTAACAATACAACATTGTCATTAATGTTATCTATTACCCTACAATAATCGCAGATAGTTGATTTAATAAAAATTACAATTCCATCGCCTTTACCATGCATTCTAGGAAACACACTGCTGTCATAACCTTCCAATTCCACTTCATCCTCTTTCTCCACCCACGTTTCATACAAACATACAACATCATATTTGGTAATAATATTTACAAACTCTTTTGTATCTAATTTGTCCGTGATCGATCTGCTTATATTCCATGAGATAATGGAAAGTCCCTCCACACAACCCTAATACGACAAGTCGTGATTCCCTGTAGGTGGCTCGCGATCGAAGCGCGCACTGTGGTCCTTTCGCGAATATGAACCCCTCCACCTCTGGCCAGTAGCGTCCAGCCATACACATACCGACATCCAATTCATACACTATGTGCGTCTAGCCATACACATTACCGACATCCAATTTATACTCTCTGGGCGTCTAGCCATACACATTACCGACATCCAAGTTATACACTCTAGGCGTGTAGCCATTCACATTACCGACATCCAAGTTATACACTCTGGGCGTCTAGCCATACACATTACCGACATCCAATTTATACAGTATGGGCGTCTAGCCATATACATTACCGACATCCAAGTTATACACTCTGGGCGTCTAGCCATACACATTACTGACATCCAAGTAATACACCCTGGGCGTCTAGCCACTCACATAACCGACACCCAAGTTGTACACTCTGTGCGTCTATCCATAAATATTACCGACATCCAAGTTATACGCTCTAGGCGTGTAGCCATACACATTACCGACATCCAATGTATACACTATAGGCGTCTAGCCATACACATTACTGACATCCACGTTATACACTCTAGGCGTGTAGCCGTTCACATTACTGACATCCAATTTATACACACTGGGCGTCTAGCCACTCACATTAACGACATCCAAGTTGTACACTCTGTGCGTCTAGCCATAAATATTACTGACATCCAAGTTATACACTCTTGGCGTGTAGCCATTCACCTTAGTGACATCCAAGTTATACACTCTGGACGTCTAGTCATGCATATTACCGACATCCAAGTTATACACTCTAGGCGTGTAGCCATACACATTACCGAAATCCAAGTTATACACCCTGGGCGTCTAGCCACTCACATTACCGATATCCAAGTCGTACACTCTGTGCGTCTAGCCATAAATATTACTGACATCCAAGTTATATACTCTGGGCGTCTAGCCATACACATTACCGACGAGTTTTAACTATGGCCCTTGACGTGCTTCTAAATTATTACTAGCTTTCACATGAACAACCCCGCCCCTTTAGTAGGTGTCGCAAGAAAGACATTAATAACCTTTGAATAACTGATTGTTTTTATATTATATCGGCAAACGGTGTTTTATTGACTGGTCTTAATAAATACAGCGACATATCTGTGTTTGATGCAGATATATCTGAAAGTATTCTGGTGAGCTTGAAGTTGACACACACTTTTTATTGATGCATTTTTGTTTTGTTTATAAGTAACGTCTCATTATTCACGTTGCGTGCATAAACGGGATTATACTGTACCTGAAGATTTTAGTAGGTGGCGTAAGGATATTTTTTTAAGTTATCTGTAATTGTATAAAGTATTTTTATTCTTAATTAAGATATAGACACGGGTTAATTGTAGGAGTTTTGTAAATATTGCGTAGAATGTAGACTTGCCCTTGAAGCTGATATTGACTATTCTTCGCCATGCTGTTTTATCTTCTGTTACGCCGATAAACAATTACACCATGCGATAACGTTGTGAATTGAAACCTTGTTTGTTTTGCTTTGTTGATAAGGGAAGTTTGGACCTCCTAACATTCTAAATTATTTGCATTATAGTTTAAGTTTTTTTGTTTCGTAAATCTATGTCGTTAGAGTTATATTTTTAACTGCAAAAACACACATTTAAAGGAGTTGGTGACGCACTGGTAATGGAACACTTTGTTAGGAATGCATTATATCCTTCTGTTTTACAGGAAAAACTACCGGAATATTTCCAGCCTTGGAATGACCTTGCTAGCCGTATTGTAGAACTGATGAAATCTAAAACTGTACGGGAACACATTGATCAGGTATCTCACTCAAGCAAACATTTTTGTCTGAGCAAACAGCTATATGTATCTTCTGTTTTTGTATATCCGTGTAATAATACGTTTATTTCTGTACCTTATTTACAATAATTCATGATATTTCTTGATGTAATAGGACCCCAAAAAGTAACGGACAATTTTGATACCTCAAAGGTGAAATTGTAAAGTTAATGTTAGTATCTCGCTGACGGACACAGCCAAATATTCACAGGAAGTGAGCCCTTTACATACAACTTTTACTCAAAGTCTTTGTGTTAAAAATACCCTTTATTTGGTAACACTTGTCCGTATGTCACCAATACTACCTATGATAACGCGATACAGATGTCGAATGCATCAGTCACTCTACAAAAGCAAAGCTATTTGTACCTGTAAATGATTTCGTATAATGTACTCGTGCTCTAGAATTAGTTATTTATCATTTTTCCGAATAATTTATTTTACTCTTTATACATTTGAGTGACGTATGTTGTCGTAAAGATTCTGCAAACCAACACTTACATTTCTTAAACGTCTTCCATTTCATTAGATATGTGATAGGTTTTATCACACACTTTTATAAACTTTCAGCATCGCTGTTACATCTGTAAAACATTTCATGTATCGATCGAAAAATGCAACTGCGTTTCACATAGCTTGACATATGTTTGTGTTTAATCCGTGTTACATGTAGCATGTGAGTTTTATTCCGAGTAGCATTTTTTTCAAAGTTTAGTACATATCTACAGCTTTTTTGTACGATATATACATGTACTTCATTGAATGACACACCATGTTAGTTTGGTTTAATTCCAGTTATAGTTAGCAGGTATAGTTAGCAGGTATAGTTTTTGGAGTTCCTCTGCCACTGTCGTCCCGTATCAACAATATCTTTGGTACATTTTTACAACACTTTTTATGTAGCTAGAAATGCTCGACCACAAGAGACTGTCAGGACGAGCTGAACTGTTCCTGGCACACCTACAGTTGTCTCGTTTTGTAGCAGGATACGTTTGGCAAAACGGAAAGAGTGATCCGGCCAAGGTAAACGAATAAGGACCAAGTAGTGTTTAATAAATGAATAGATAAATGAGAGTTGTTTCTTACATATATCAAAATAAAAGGAGATATTTCTTAATTTCTGCATGTTTACCTCGGCCATGTTTCATGTTTTGGCATTTATGAATCATCAACATACATCAAAATACTTGGTCTACGATAGTAATCGGTAACAACCTAGTTTGGTTTATTTTTAAATAACTTACACTTACATTTCCAAATGGCTATTAATATATAAAAATCTATGTCGAATTATTAGCGTATAATTGATTAGGTCACCTTGTAGCTAATTATATATATGTACACATTTATCTCTGTATTCGTATGATATTTATTTTCTATTTTTTATCCAACCTTTCCACATAAAGTGTATTATTTTGTTTTACTACTTTAATAATTGCCCATATGATGTAAATGCTTTATTCTCTAAGATTACATTTACCTTCTCCATACGATGTGTTATGGTGTGACAATACTTTCGGCCTTCCTTATTTTAAGACGTAATATTCTGTGATGTTGCGTTGTTTCAGAAACTACAAAGATGTAATGCCTTCTAATTTTTTTGTGTTTCTTTTATTCTGACTACATGATTGTTTTTCATGACGTCACATTTTTTGAATTTCAGAAAATACCGAGATGCATTGCGGTGCCGTTTTATGGAATTTCCGATAGTTTGTCCATTCGTCCGACAATATCTTACTGCGACATCGTATTGGCAAACTGGCGACCTATCGACCCAAAAGCGTAAGTCATCTCATTTTACTTACATTGTATATCGTGCTTAGGCAGTAACCTTTTTTTTCAATTACAATGATGTCATTAATGTTGCAAATGTATTAATGTTGTAAATGTGTAAATATTGTAAATGTGTAAATGTTGTAATTGTATTAATGTTGTAAATGTATTACTGTTGTAAATGTATTACTGTTGTAAATGTATTAATGTTGTAAATGTATTAATGTTGTAAATATATTAATGTTGTAATTGTGTTAATGTTGTAAATGTGTTAATGTTGTAAATATATTAATGTTGTAAATATATTAATGTTGTAAATGTGTTAATGTTGTAAATGTATTAATGTTGCAAATGTGTTAATGTTGCAACATTAATTTACAACATTAACACATTCATAACAGTAATACATTTACAACAGTAATACATTTACAATAGTATTACATTTACAACAGTAATACATTTACAACATTAACACATTTACAACAGTAATACATTTACAATTATCTCTCTCAAAAGCTTCTACCAGCTGGCATATTTTAGAGGGAATGAATGGTACACGGGTTTCGCTTTTGTAAAAAAATAAACATTTTGTATACGGCTTTCTCTCTTTCTCTGATTTGTAATAAGGTTTTTGTCTAACCCTAACCCTAGCCCTATATTCAACCCTAGCCCTAACTCTAACCCTTGACCTGCATGTCTTGTTGTTACATTTAACGTTAGGGTACCCAAAATTGAACACTTCTCATGTATGTGATACTGCATTTCTCTTTTGCAATACAAATAAATAGTAAATATTCCAGTCAAACATTGTAAAGTTTTAAGTGAAAAATAATAAACTATGGAATCATGAAGCATAGCAACAGTATGGAATCATATAGCATAGCAACAGTATGGAATTATATAGCATAGCAACAGTATGAATTATATATCATAGCAACAGTATGGAATTATATAGCATAGCAACAGTATGGAATTATATAGCATAGCAACAGTATGGAATTATATAGCATAGCAACAGTATGGAATCATATAGCATAGCAACAGTATGGAATTATAAAGGATATATGTAGCAACAGTATGGTAACATGAAACATTAAACATAGTAACAGTTGCTTAAGAACAGTATGGAATAATATAAGCATAGCAACAGTAGGGCAATATGAGGTATACCAGCAATAGGACATCAAGAGCAAATCTCATCACGGTTCGGTACACTTTAAATTCCATCCTGACGGGTTATAAGCTGACCTACGACAAATGAGTTTTTTGCGTGGTATAGGATAGGCAAAACAGTATGAAATGTGTAATGATTTGACTATTTAGAAATGTGACTACATATTGTAGACGTATATACATTAACTACAAAGTGCTAGGTCGGAACACTTTGTCATTATTGTAGCTATTGATTTTAAGAAGTATCTTTCACTGATGGTATTAATAGATTTTTGGGGGGTTTTATTTGCTTTACTTATACTGGAAAATAACCATGTATGTTGGGTTTTCTGTATTCTTAAATAACAGGAACGTAACGGTACAGTACTATAAAAGAATAAAATCATCGCTGATACATTTAGATTATTGTTTATGTAAACAGTAAATATGTCTCATGCCTTTACATTTATTTATATCTTACAGACCGCTGACGTTTGTGTAAGTATATGATTTTAATTATACATTGTACACTTGTATAATTATAACATTTCAGTGAGAGGTTCGGTTTAAACATAACCTTACTTTAATGCTCCTACAATATTCAACATACATGTATGTGGAGAAAATACTGGATGTTCCCACGTTCTCGATAAAGCATTGACACAATACACTGTAAAGAGGAAACGAATTACTTGATTCACGTGTGTCCATGAATTAATATTGATGCTAATATTCCACCGGAGATAAATTTGTCACTTTCTGAATTTGTTGTAAATTACAACATTGTTATTTAATTGGAACAACATTCAATCGATATTTGATATTCCATAAAAGTCAGGGAGAAGCAGATGCAAATCCTGTAAATTGTTAAAAAGATATTTTGACCACGTTATGTTCTGTATCCCCACGAGTTACTTTGACCAATATAGCGGTGTGCTGTGTATCCTGGACACTTGAATGACCAATATGATGTTGTGGTTTATCCCCACTCAGTTGTTTGACCCGTGTGACGTTGTGTATCCCGTACACTGTTGTGACCACTGTGACGTTGTGCTGTGTATCCCTTATATTGCTTTGACCGCTGTGACGTTGTGCTGTGTATCCCTTATATTGCTTTGACCGCTGTGACGTTGTGCTGTGTATCCCTTATATTGCTTTGACCGCTGTGACGTTGTGCTGTGTATCCCTTATATTGCTTTGACCGCTGTGACGTTGTGCTGTGTATCCCTTATATTGCTTTGACCGCTGTGACGTTGTGCTGTGTATCCCTTATATTGCTTTGACCGCTGTGACGTTGTGCTGTGTATCCCTTATATTGGTTTGATCACTGTGACGTTGTGCTGTGTATCCCGCACACTGTTGTGACCACTGTGATGCTGTGCTGTGTATCCCGTACACTGTTGTGACCACTGTGACGCTGTGCTGTGTATCCCGTACACTGTTGTGACCACTGTGGCGCTTTGCTGTGTATCCCGTATATTGGGTTGACCATTGTGACGTTGTGTTGTACATTGTAGTAACATCAGACCGATCATCTCTCTACCTGGTGGAAAGGACGCCGATAACTTAATTCGCCAAACTGCTGCTGTAGAATTAGCATTTACACCTGCGATTCAGGTGAGTTGACATGGTTAACATTTAAGTAACAAGTGATTACTTTAAAGGTGGGGCCAGCAGTTGGCCCCCACTTTGTTTTCTTTTATTCTTTTGCCATATGTAGATACATAAAATTGATCAATAACTGCATACATGGTTATTCATAATTACTTCTAATAACCGTAGTGGACCTCCTTGCATGCATCGTTGTACCAGCATTTTGAGTGACGGGGTTATTCTTACAAAATGACAGATAAAATGTCACAGGCAAATGCTATTTTGAAAAGAAGTTATGATATTTTGATACTTAATATGTCTTATTGGTATACATTAAGTAAGCGTAGTGATACTTTCAATTCGAAAAACATGCAGCATTTTCACAGAATTTAAAATGTAACTAACATTGTTAACTTGCCTATATATAGTTACAATGGTAGTCTATATTTTAAACTTCTTTTTTATGTTATATAAAAACTGGTAAAATACTTAGCATGCAAAACATGATCAATGCCCTATTGCACATAATCATGGAGATTTGATTATCAATGTTTATTATGATAAAAACCGATAGATTTTCTGTTTTTGTATCATACCAAAACATTTTATTTTTTTTAACGCATGTTTTAAAGATAAGTGTTGCGGTAAATTTCTGATGTTGTAAGATATAATTGGTAGACAACTTTTAAGCAAGTAAGGACAATAGACTCATGTTAAAACTATGTAGATTAACGTATCAAAATGGAAAATGTTTCGTTAGTAATGAAATTTCACATACTTTTCTGCTTAAATCATAATAAAAAAGCAATCCCTTCTTGAAATAGTGTGATATTCGGTACGATAATAGCAGTTGGAACATGTTGCATACGATTAATATATATTTTTAAAGTAATCGTGTCATTTAAATGCTCTAGAAGGAATTGTATTACCGCACCTTTAACAACCACACAGGTATTAATCAATGACGTCCCATTTGTCATAAAATAAATTCTGAAACTCAATTTTCTGATTTAAGCTTCCTATACCCCTACCTTTTTATCTATCTTGTTTTGAAATTCAAAGCGGGGGCCGGCGCTAATGTTAAATCTCCATAGGCTTTGACCGTCTCTAATAATGTAACTTAATCAAGATTGGCAAGTTTGTCCAATCCAATAACGTAATACAAGCATGTTATATACAAACGTTATAGTCACTTGATCGTTATTGTGTTAAGTAAAGGAGACCCGAGGTTAACGTTGACAATCCGAGAGATGATATAAAACACTGCTTGTGTAGGCTTCCTTCTCTTCTTTGTTATCGTGGTCCATCTGTGCCTTCTTGTTTTGGTATCGACATGTCGTCTGTGTGTTTGTTTCTATGAAAATGTCATTATAATCCTATTCTGAAATAGCCCTTAACAGCCGGGTATAAATCTGATGTCCTCAAGAGATTGGATGATTTGTTATTGCTTATTATAAAATAAGATGTGACAAGGCAATAGAGGAAATCATTTAAACATTCTTTTTGCATTTTTCCGTTTGCGTACGATTATAGAACGTTAAAACTGAAAATGACAGCATTATTTGAAAACAGCGAGTCGTTTGCTTGCAATCACTCACGTCGTTCTTTTTAGGTTGTTATAAATAAAGGTGCAATGTTTCTTGGCAAGGTGAATGTTTTTCCCCCTCAAATATAATCCGACATCCTACAGATGAACGTGATATGCGTGTCCTCGAGTTTGGCAAAAAAAATGCAGTTAATAAATATTCAAAACAATTTTAACATGTTACAGAGAACACTGGACGCTGTTTACGCTACAGAAGCTGGGGACGCTAGTACATTGGCACACTGTCTAGAGGATGTTGCTGCTGTGCTGAGGAAAATGACCGCAATGCTCTCTGATATCCATGGTAAAAATAAGTTTCTTAACCGATACAATGTCGATACCATATTACGATTTACAGAAATGTTTTAACTGTTGACAATTCATTACGTTGTATATAAGCAAAATTAAATAATTCTACCTGGTATGAAATATATATGCATGTAGGTATGGTTTCCAATTCAATAATTTACAAGATACAACACGACTAATTGAGAATTTAAAATTGTAAAATATTTGACAAAGTTATTGATCTGAGACTACGTTTTGTGAACACACGTGTAAACTTTTTCCACTGCCTTGTTAGTTGAGGTAGTATTTTGGATAAAGGGGAAAATGTTAAGATGGTAATAAATCTATTATATAACGAAAGGAAGGTATACTTCCTTTTATACAATAAATGAGTGTTTAATTCTAACACCTAATCCATCAATGAACTGTGTACAAGGTATGTACATTGGCCAATTGAAGAAACACGTTGGGGGTTTTATTCTCTAGGTTTGAACAGTTAAAATAATGGCGTAAACATATGTTATAGTGGATTCCAATAAATAAATATTTATCATGCCTGCCGTTTCCATGTGGTATCCTTCCCGACTGGTGGTCGTTTTATGTCTTAACAACAGTTAAGTGTATATAACGAGTGTCTACTGATGTCCTGCTCAATCCAAGGTCACCATATACATTTCATTAATTTTGACAATTTCGTATGATTAATAACCGTGTATCATTTTCGAAAAGTGATCACACCACAGGTACATGTACTAGTGGTAACACCCAACGCCGAATTCAGAAAATAGATCAGAAAGAGAAACAACTAGAGACTTCAGGATTCCAGTAAGGACATACAATGAATTAATGTCTCATCCGTGTCCAAACACAATAACACGAGTCTGAAAGGTGACCGAAATTGTCCATGTGCGTACGATGACGGGTTGATGGCGATGGGAAGGAAAAATCACCATACATGAAACCAGATTTAAAATTATCTTATCTTGAAGCATCCTCGATATCCAGGGGTTACACAGCGAAAGTGAGCGTAACCCCTGGATATCAAGAATGATCTTGAAGTGGACGCTTCTTGCCTTGACAGTGGTTATTATGTTTTGGTGATAGATGTTAGGTCAAAAGTAACGAATACGATCAAGTCTAACGTATGCTCGAAACAAATATATACATGTAACCTACAATTGTTTATGTATATTATTTCTTAATCCTGTAACTAAACAGCAGTGATAGTTAGACATGAAACTGATCGATTCCATGTAAAATTAAAGGTAAAAAGAACACACTTGTTTGAGATGTAAATTACAACTGTTTGTTAATGTCAAAGTCGACCAATCGAAGTTACAGAACTGGTAGACTTGACCTGTCGTATTTCGGGGGGTCAATGAGGAAAGGGTAGACAAATTACAGCAGATAATTCAGTATATATATTTTCGCAAAAGAAAAAAAAATCATTGAATATAACTGCACATGTTTATTGAGTTATTTGTTCTTTATGTCATTGGCAGTACACGCAACTAGTCATTTGTCCTGTTATTTCTACAGAACTCATCGACGCCGAGGCTTTGCAAAATGTGGTTCTACTATATTGTGGCGGGTAAGTATAATACTATAACAGGTACATGTAAGCAATGTATTATGGTGGGCATATGACAATGTACCTGTATTTACGTAGGTGTAATATTGAATGTAATTCACGGTAGAATAGAAATATGTATGTAGTTATTTCTCGAGCAAAAGCCGAGGGCAAAGCATCTGGTCAAGGGGAGCAAACATTAAACTGTTTTATTATACCAGTACTAAACGTAAGAACATTTTTTTAAGCAAATTGTCCAACCGCTGTTTCCAAAAACTTATTAAGATATTAAGGGTTATATCTGCTTTTCCAATGCCATGGACGCTGTTGTCACAAGATTACGAACAATTGTATGGGGCCGGGTCAGTACCATCTCTATCAACTTTTTACCAGTTCAGCCTGGCATTACTGTGAGGGAATTACAACCATTGCATATTGAATACGTCTGCTACCCCGAAAACGGCATAGGGAGTTACTCTGCAAAGTTGTTTAAGTTTTCAAACTGACTTACGGCTAATAAAGAACAACCTCCCTTGAAAACGAAGTTGGTGCAATGAAGGGGATATAGTAATTAAACGAATAACAATGATATAAAATAATTGAAGTAAAAGTACACACACGGATAAGTCGTAGGGATTAAAGTAAATAAAGAACTTGAACTTGAACATGTATAATATAAATGTAAGGTGTTTCGCTATTGGAGTTGATGTACACGATATGCACAACAAAAATATCAATCTTACTGACAAAAAGGAAAGGCACGACGCAAAACCCTAGAAAACATGGAAGTAAAAGAAGGAGTAGCATCGGAAAAAGCAGGCATTGTATTGTGCCTATAGTGTATTGATTTAGTCATGAAATTTGAATAAACAGTATATAAGTATTCATATTTGAAACGATACCCTACACACACAAGTGTATCACCTGCATGTATCTCTGCTTTGATATGTTCATATTTTAATTGCTGTAGATTTGGACCGGGGTCACCATTACCAGAGGGACTTCTATTTGAGGGCGTTAGTGACGAAGGTGTAACAGTAGGTACCCACATTGTAATAGGCTCAAATACGTTGTCATATCTGAATACGCTGTTTCTATCTTCAAACAACGCACAAAGTTAAACTATTATTTTAAAAAGGGATGTGGCCAGTAGAACGTTATCTTCGGTACTCCAAGGGTTACGTTCATTTACGCTCTCTGCACCCCTGGCATATGTCATAGCAACATTGAAGGTACGTGGCTAGCTATTTAATTGGTCTCAAGTTAAACAAAACGAACAATCGCTAGGCTGGTACATGTCCTTTGAAGTACATAGGAGCAACCACTGACTCCAAAGCCAGTCAATTTTTCCGTTACGCGACTAACAGATTCTTGTGATGTACATCTAAGAATCAATCTAGCCTTATCGTCTCATCCACAAGGTAGCGCACACTGAGCCTTCGATTTTGCTATGACATATCACAGGGGTGCAGAATGCGAAAGTGACCGTTACCACTAGAGTACCGGAACTCGAACTGACGACCTCACAGACAAATCTGCTGAAAAAAATGACATAATACATGAATTTATATATGAATACTGATTCCTTGTGCCGTTCAGGCCATTGGTGCCAGTGCTGCACAGACGTCCGCTCTCCAGCTTGTAGACGCTGCCCTGTCGGTACAGCACACACAGGGTAAGTTCATTATTATCCACAAAACGTCCGCTATCGAGCTTGTAGACTCTGCCCTGTCGGTACAGCACACACAGGGTAAGTTCATTATTATCCTCATGCGTCCACTATCGAGCTTGTAAGTACTGCACTATCGGTACAGCACACACAGGGTAAGTTTGTTAATATTCACACACGTCCGCTATTCAGCTTATAAATACTGCCCTGTCGGTACAACAAACACATGGTTAGTTCATCATTTTTTACAGACGTCCACTATCCAGCTTGTAGATACTGCCCTTTCGGTACAGCACGCACAGGGTAAATTCATCATTTTTTTACAGACGTCCACTATCCAGCTTGTAAATACTGCCCTATCGGTACAGCAAACACATGGTAAGTTCATCATTTTTCACATACGTCCACTATCCAGCTTGTAAATGCTGCCCTATCGGTACAGCAAACACATGGTAAGTTCATCATTTTTACAGACGTCCAGTATCCAGCTTGTAAATACTGCCCTATCGGTACAGCACGCACAGGGTAAATTCATTATTATCCACACACGTCCGCTATCGAGATTGTAGACTCTACCCTATCAGTACAGCAAACACATGGTAAGTTCATTATTTTCCACATACGTTCACTGTCGAGCTTGTAGACTCTGCCCTATCGGTACAGCAAACACAGGGTAAATTCATTTTACACTTTCAATATTTGATACTTAATTAAACTGTACATAAGTGTGTTGTTCGAAGTAAAATCAATCATTAATATTGTATGTTTAGCTTGTTGTTTGAGGTTTAATGCTACGTAATAATATTCCTTAATTAAGTTTAGAGAAATGTGATCATTTTTCAATCTTTCAGACTACGCTTTTAAATGTTGTATATTTTCATATTACACCATAACGAGTGTTTTTCGAGCTTTAAGCATGTTCATGCCCGGTGTTTTTGCTTTTTTTGGTGTTTTTTTTTAAATTTCTAAACTACATGTAGTTAATCTCATACTGATCGTCATGTTACTAACTGGACAGTCTATCTGAGCATGTTTTACACACTTTAAAACTAGACATTCTGATTTATTTTTACGTGTCTTAAGACTAATAGAATCTTTCACCCCTTCGGAGTGAGATAGGGGAATCTCAACCCGAGGTGGAAGATTGTTAAGTTGCCAAACACGAGACTTTCCCCAAAGTGTTGAGATTCCCCTATCCCACCCACAAGGGGGTGAATGATTCTTTTTCTCTTACCCTGTTCACCCATTGTGTATCATATACAAAATGTAATATTAACGTCACAGGCTAAATTCAGGGTTGATGTGACGTTGATGGATTGTTGAGATGACGTCATTGTATTGTTGAAGTGACGTCATATCATTGTTATGAATAGGGGAAACTCCCCCCCCCCCCCCCCCATCTCAACCCTTAGGGTGAGACAATGATATATCATAGCGGTAAAAGTGCGGATACAGGGTAAGAGAAAAAATAGTCTTGGTATCTTCTTGACACTTTAAGAGTTTGCTGCGTGAAAACCTTCATATATCCTGACAATGCAGTCCTGGAAAATTAAGGATGTATTAGATTATATCATGTTCTTGTATTATCTGTAAGTGTCTGGCCAATGTCAATTGATTTTGTTTCAGATAACAGAGCTATATTCCAGAACCACAGACTGTACATGCCGCAGAAACACAGGCAGTTTGTCGAGACGGTGGAACAACGATCACAAATACGTCAGTATGGTGAGCTATACACGCAAAGACATACATGTGTACAAACCATTCGAGTTTATAATTAAGTCCCCCAAACGAAGTGGGGGACTGATTGCTTTTGCTCAGTTTCTTCTTCTTCTTCTTCTTCTTCTTCTTCTTCTTCTTCTTCTTCTTCTTCTTCTTCTTCTTCTTCTTCTTCCATTCTTATTCTCTTCCACTTTCTTCCGTCAGGGAGAATTCCGCCAGTTTTCTCGAAAACTACCGAAAGGAATTGAACGAAACTGAACATGTGTGTTCGTATATGAGAGGCAGTGCGCATAATTGATTTCTGATTCCTAAAACAAAATGGCCGCCAAGGGGATGCAACAAATAGGTCAAAATTTAAATTTCGTAGTAAAGGGGGTCGTTTTGGGGACTTCTGTAATGGTCCCTATCCTCATTGCTTAACATTTGTTTATCTATTTTTTGAAACTTTCAGTAACTTCATGCAAAGACGAGGCTCTAACGTCAGCCTTTAAAAACTGTCTGCGCTGTCTCGCTGACTTCCGGAGTGGCCACATCCGAATAATTACAAAGTAAGTCTGTTCGGTCATCCTGTGAAAAGTGCACATTAACTTTTCCAAAAGATTACTGAGTGCTAACAAACGAACATGTAATAGTGTAGTATAATGTGAGCTAGGACATGTAATAGTGTAGTATAATATGAGCTAGGACATGAAGTAGTGTAGTATAATGTGAGCTAGGACATGTAATAGTGTAGTATAATGTGAGCTAGGACATGTAGTAGTATAGTATAATGTGAGCTAGGACATGTAGTAGTGTAGTATAATGTGAGCTAGGACAGGTAGTAGTATAGTATAATGTGAGCTATGACATGTAATAGTATAGTATAATGTGAGCTAGGACATGTA